TGAATCTTGCCTTCCTTTCTCTTGGTCCACATGGCTTAGGTGCCACTGAGTGAATCTAGCATAGTGGACATGTGACCCAGTTCTGTCTATTGGCATGTTTCATCTTGTAGACCATGGTGATCATACCCAAGTAGGCCTGATCAGAACTTATATAGGGATTTTGCCATAGCAACCAGGAAAGAAGTGCTGACTTTCTACTGGACTTTGAGCTGGGGGTATATAAATCTGAAACTACCAGAGGGGGCCTCATGGACAAGACCTGCCTTCATAGAAGGCAGAGCCAAGAAAATTGCAGGCAGATCCAAAGCCTTGTTTGAGCTCTTGACCCCAGGCATACATGAAGTTACATTTCCCATTTGGATTTTATGGTAAAATGAAATCATTGGCAAGACTATGTAAATTCTGAGTATCATACAATTCTTCCTAAATTCCTTCCACCAGAAAAACAATAGAAGGAACCCGAAGCTATGAACAAATTATCCCTTTCATGACCTGTGGGACATATGGTATCCCACCCACTTTTTCTGGCTCTCAGATTGCTGCCCTCCAGTGGGGACTGGAGTAATGGTGAAAGGCAAAAGAAATATTGAAGCAAAGTACCTGGGTATCTTCCTTAAATGTGAGGGAGTGCATCCAGGAAGTGTGATTTGGTAAAAATTTTGTCTCTTTTAGCTTTTGTACATCTAGATAAGCCTTGTAAACATATTTACAGTTTCCTTGTGATAGTTAGGGAGGCCTGGTTGGATTTTTATTTGTGTGTATGTGTGTGTGTTGCAATAAATTCTGTCACTCATGACCAGTGGGACAGATGGGTACCCACCAATCCTGGTACCCGAGAACCCCCTGAGGCTTGTGGGACCCATGTATTCCCAAATACTTTCTCAAAATCTAGATTACCAACCAAAAATTTAAGTACACTTCATGTCTTAGCATACTTCCACTAATGAAAATACATATCAAAGGAAAAAAAAAAGTTCACAGCAGAAAATAATAGGATCTCGAAAGGGTTATACTGTAACCAAGATCTTCATGTTACCTCCCAAACATTAGGTTGTCCATATTTAAAGGGGTGGGCAACACACAATATAAAGGACTTTTTTTTTTTTTTGCCACCCATAGAAAAGGTATATTGAACATGCACATAACCAGAATTTACATATTTTGCTTAAAATGAAAATATGAGTTACTTTTTAAATTTGAGAATCTTTCTCTTAAATAGCAATGAGTTCCTTAACCAGAATTTTATATTCTCATTAGAAATGAGAACTGGAGCTAATTTGTTTATTCAGGAACATTATATATATTTTTAAGTGGTAATGGCTTCTACTTGCAGAATATTAAAAATAAGTGTAAACATACTTACCTTAGGAAATGGGAAGAAACAATCTTCAACTTTATAGTTGCTAGAAAATCTTCAGAATTTCCCAAACTATGTTCTTTGGAATTATTAATAGGTGTTTTACACACACACACACACATACACACACATACACACAGACACACTTCTGTTGGGTCAAATAAGATTGGGAAACGTATATTATTCTAAGTCCTGAAGATTCTCAGTGCATATTAGCATATTAAACAGTGTAAGAAGTCTTGCACTAGAGATACCTGTTCAAATTTGTTTAAATCATCATTTTCCTAAGTTAACTTTTCCAAAATAAACCACAGAGCTTCTCCATTCCTCACCCCACCAAACCCCCGTTCCCCAAAGCAACTATCGGAACACCTTGTGGAGCTAGTTCACAAAGCAAAGTTTGAAAAGCACTGGTTTAGTGGTTTCTGTCTACACAGATTTTGCTCTCTGAATAATATGTAAGGAATTTTGAGTGACAATTGCACCCATTAGAATGTAACTTCAACTGACTCCATAATCAGAAGTTTAAAATGCAAATTTTTTCAAGAGCGAAATGCCGCTACCATCTAGACATGTTGCTGAGATTTATTTGAATTTGTGTACCCTTGTAGGAATTTGGTATGGTAATAGGCTCAAAAGACCTATAAATATTAAATACAAATAAGATTAACCCTGTCTAAATTTTATGTATATACGGGGCCTAGCCAATTTTAATATAGTAAATGTACATTGTACATGGGGGGGGGGGGGTATGTGCCTCTTGGGAAAACTGAGACAATGGAAGCTTCTTTTTCATTTACACTCTGTACAAGATGCATATTATGAATCCATGTTAGTATGTTAAAGACAAGAAACTATTACAAGTGAGCTTCAGATGTGGCTGCAAAGAATTAAGACAACATCACCATCTCTCTCAAAATATAACGAAAACCTAACTTTACAACCTTCTCTTAAAGAAGCTTTCCTCATGCTACTTAGCTATGCCTTAAATCTTGGCACACACAAAAAACAAAAACAGGACAGCTCTGAAGATTCACTTCTGTTGGCTGGATTATAAACTCAGATGGTGTTCAAATGTGGGTATAATTGAAAATAAAAACCTGAAAAATATTTAAATGTTGAAAGTGAAAAGGCAGGATATAGTCAAGACACCACTCTTTAGATACATAACATCACTGTATGTCACAAAGGATTAAAAAACTCAATTCTCTAGGGATTATTATAGAGATTTCAACTTCCACAAAGTATATTTTCTGACTGTAATATAGTATAATTATTCTCATTGCAGAGGCACATGTTTAATGTGTCTGGGTTTACTACAATTTGAATTTTAGGTCATTAGTGCCGAAGATATAAAAACAATGTAGTAAATTGGGTTTTATGATCAAGTTTCTATAATATTCTAATCGCCAGTTGCAGAAAAGAGGTCCCCTTTTCCAAAGTAGCCTGTGGATCCTGTTGTCTTGCCCATTCACACAAATACTAGACCTATGCTGTGATGTTAAGTTTCCCAAAATGTGGTGTGCATGACATTCCTAAGGAGCCCTGGTGGCACCGTAGTTAAGTGCTCGGCTGCATACCGAAAGGTCGGCCGGTTTGAACCCACCAGGTGCTCTGCAGGAGAAAGATGTGGCAGTCTGCTTCCGTAAAGATTAAAATAAAAAAAACAAACCCGTTGTGTCGATTCCAACTCATAGGGTTTCCAAGGAGCACCTGGTGGATTTGAACTGCTGACTTTTGGTTAGCAGCTGTAGCTCTCTCTTAACCACTACACCATCGGGGTTTCCCCATAAAGATTACAGCCTTGGAAACCCTATGGGGCAGTTCTATTCTGCTCTGCAGGGTTGCTAGGAGTCGGAATCGACTGGACGGCACACAAGAGCAAATGGCACTTCTTATACATACCATGATTTTAGGTGGTCCAGGGAGTATTTCCTATTTTAATAATGAAGATTATAATGGTAACACAAAAACTTGCTACCGTTTACTGATCATTAATTATGTGCCACATACAAGTAATTCAAATGGTCTTCAAAAGACCACTGTGTTCAAGGGGCACTGAGTTTCTGTTAAGGGTGATGGGAAAATCTGAGAAGTGGATCGTGATGATGGTTGAACAACATGATGAATATAGTTAATATCACTGAATTGTATATGAAAAAAATGTTGAAATGGCAAATGTTCTGTTGTGTATTTCACACACACAAAAAGACCATTGTGAAATAGCCACTATCATTATTATCTCCAGTAAACAGAAAGGAAATTGAAGCACAGAGAGATTAAGTAACCTGCCCAAAACCACACAGTTGGAAACAGGACGATTAGCTGTGAGCCATACCTTGTCATTTCATGAACAGAATTTGCCTTTAAAAAAAAGTTGGTTGGCTTAATAAAAAGGTTAAGAAAATGTTAAGTGTTTGGATATGAAATGAAGTCACGAAAGTATGAATGTCTGATGTTCAGGTAGCACTGGTATATCGTAACTGTGTTGAGGAGCTAGAGATTAAGGATCCTTATAGATTTTGAAGTCAGCCTTAACAGGCAAGTGACAGGGCAGAAACTTTCTGTGTATTTTATTTGTTCTTATTGGTTTAGTATTTAAAAACAATCAGAAAGAACCACTGTACACCTCCCTAGAGGAACAACCCCAACTTTCAACTTAACCTGCTTTCGATTTCACCCAGAAAATCTTCTTGTTCAGGTAGGAAATCTTCCTTCTTTTGCATATGTTTTTATGACAGTACAGTCACATTTTTATGGGAATTATAAATAATTCAAATAACTGAAAAGGAAAAGCTTTGATGATTGTATATTATAATTTAAGGGAAAAAAAAAAGAAACCTAAGAAATGAGCTGACACTCAGATCAGAAGTGTTACAGGAAGTTTTTTTGCTTGTTTTCTCCAGAGGGTAACTCAGAATATTTTAAAAGGGCAGAAGTTTAAGATCTCGCTAGGGAATAAAGACATGTTTTGTCTGACACTTCCCAATTCACATCCAACATTTATCAAATGATTCTTAAGTACTGTATTAAGAAGGGGAAAAAAAAAAAAAAAAAAAAGGAAAGGTCACAGAAAGAGTTGGAAAGAGCTCATTTCAAACTTAGAAAGATAAGGGTAAAATTCATGGTAACCACAAAGAAAGTTAACAAACATACTCATAAAAAAAAAAAAAAAAAAAAAAAAAAACCTCAGTCAGGAGCTGGCAGCCTGGGTATATTAAGCTTTCATTACTGTAAATTTATATTTTAAAAACCCAATATCTTTTCTGTAAATATGCAAGGATTTCTCTGATGATTTCTGTTTTTATAAAACCACCTCTCACTGAAGCATTTTAAATAAAACTTCTGTATCTAAAACAAATTCTTGGCATTGAGAGTTTAAAAATCTCCTTAAATTCAGAAGGAAAAAAAAATCTGCATAATTACAGTTCATCGGATTGTAAGTCGTAATCAAAAATACTTAAAATTAAAAAGTGGCATCCAAGAGGAGCGTTTAAAACAAAAAAAAGTACTCACCTGCATTTTAACAATTTTTATGCAATCTGTCATTCATTAAATAGAAGGAAAATGTGTGCTTCTGTTTTTTGATAAGGCAAACACATTCCACACTGGCATTAAACGGAACACAACCAGCCGCCACTACGTGAAAAACCGAATGCTTTAATGAGGCTATCAAGAACAACAGTTCAATTATTTCATTGGCTACATTAATGTCGATCCATAATATACAGTGCTATGGACCATACAGAAATTATTGCTGCATCCAACAGCAGGTGACTAGTATTAACATTACAGTACCAAGCGTCCACAAGAGACAGTTATGTGTCATTTTTTCAAGAAATAGGGTTTTTTTTATACTGTTATCAACATCAACTTTTCCCCAGTGCATTTTTCACAAATATGAAGTGCATTCCTTTGTGCTTTTATGTCTTTTAACTTCCTATGTATTTTATTTGTTCTTATTGCTTTATTATTTAAAAACCACCACAAAGAACTGTCAATGTATGACCATGTTGGTTATTTATATGATTTTTTGGCAAAGTCAGAAGGTTTGGTATTTCCATTGCCTTACCCAGAGACAGGTCGACAATTTTGGCATTTGGACACTCCATGTGGAAGCCCAACCCAAGTCACAATTCTGCACCCTAGAGATGGGGGGAGTGGTGTCGATCACTCTCTTGTTACAAAACAGCAAGCCCCAACCACATCCTTTTGGCTTAACTAGTCCCTCAAACAAATCCACACACTATTTGGCAAAAAAGAAATAAATAAAACCACCCCCGAGGCTGCAGTATTCTCCTGGGCTAGCTCGCCGCAACTCCCAGAAATTGTCTTTGAGGAACAAGGGGACAGGGAAGCAGGCGGTGGCCAAGCTCAGGAGTTGTGAGAGTCAGGGCAGTGGTACAAGATGCCATACTTTCTCTAAACAAAGCTTTCTACAGGGTTGCTTAACCCTGGCCGTAATCCCTTGGCCATGAGTTAGCCAACCCTGCTCTATTTTTAAAAACCTTCCGAATCAGCTAAGGAAAACTAGCATCACAGCATTGCAATCTTCGACCTCTGCCCTCCCAACCCCCCATATAAATATGAAGAGAAAAATAGACAATGCTATGATTGTATCAATGAACACTATGGTACAATTAGCTGTTCATGCAGATTTGCAACACTATTCTAATAAAAAGAGCTATACAATTAAGGAGGTTGAAAGAATGGGAACTTATTTTCCCTACCCCCTTAAGTAATAAAGCTATAAAACTGATAGCATCATCAATGTTTCCAAGGATTCTCATTGCCCAATGTGCATGGGAACTATGCAGTTGATTATTTTCACATAAGCCAGTCATTCATACATCTGACAATCACGCCTCCTCTCTGAACCCTCCATCACCCATCACCAATTCACATTTGACATTTCAACACTTTAAAAAAAAAAAAAAAAACCCTCCTGAATAAGGTTTCCTGATGAAAGATGTTGGCACTCTGTTGCTAAAATACATTTAATATTAAAAATATCTGAAGGAAAATTGGAAAGTTCTTATATTGTCTACATAGGCACCATGCTACATGGTTCTCTTGACTACAGATACCATCTTGAAACTTCCTCCCACGTTATAGTTCAGTCAGTGCTAGCCTCCAAAAGACTACTGCTATATTTAAGGCACTTCATTCTGAATGGATATGCTTTACGCCACTCACTAATTAACTGCAGGCTGCTACTAAGAAAGTCCATTCAACAGCCTGGCTCATAACACCATAGGTCATCTGTAGAAAACACCGAAGCCTGCTAGAATACATGTAACACTACTGTTATTGCATAGGACTACACAAGTAGATAATGCACTGACACTAACTTTACAACGTTGCTGCTTGTTAAAACATTGTTATCAAGTAACAGTAATTTGCCAATACAGTATTTCTCTCAAAAAAAAAAAACAAAAAAAAAACAGCAAGTTGGCTGAAATTAACCCCAATTTTAACGACCAGAATGGGTGTACTAAAGCTAAAGTTATCAGTCTCCAAGAATATTGCTATTTTTATATCACTAAAAAATAAATATGTAAGTCGGTTTTCTCTAGAAAGTCTGGATGAACCTATTAATCCTACTCCTTACATGTGTGGAAAAACAGTTCCGCGTGAGACTGCAATATACAAAATATTTGCAAAGCTCTCCTTAGATACAAGACCTGGCATAAAAGTCTGCTTTCGTGTGTGTACAAAGAATGAGGAAAATCACCAGTGAGTTGTAAAAATATTGAAAACTTCTCAGTTCGAGATGCGCATTGTTACAAATTAATACACACACTGAAAAGAACGGTGATAGTGAAGAATCTGTACAAATCCAATGAACAGGAAAACATAAATTTAAAAATAAACATTGCAGAGCCAATGAGAAATGTGCCCAGTTTGGTGTTTTCTTATCAAAAGCAAAAATTAAAATTAAAAAAAAAAATGTAAAAACAACTTTCAGTGCTGCTCAGTATTTTACTCAGGGAGGACAGTGATTTCTATTGCAAAACAAAACAGATTTTATGAAAAACTGAATCACACTCATTGATGAAGAAAACTGAAACAGAGCGTGTAGAAAAAGAGCATGATGAGACTCTATTTCAGAGCTCAGTTCTGCCTCCCTTCCGCTTCAGCTGCAGCTAAAGATTTCTAACCAGACAATCCTCATGGAAATCGCTGTACTTTTTTTCCCCGTCTTTTACAGAATATAGGATTTCTTTAAATAGTTAGCAGTATAAAGACTAAACAATGCTTGAAGGGTACTGTATCTTTAAGGCAGTACCAGCGAGTCAATACATTTACAAAGTGGAAACAGGTTAGTGTGGATTTCTTTTCTCACTCTCTCTCTTTTTTTTTTTTTGGTTGCTTTACATTCTTTTGATTAAACTTTACATTTAATTCCCAAGGAAGTCACAGGCATAAAAATCTCAAACCAAGATTCCCCGAATAAAAATGGACAGACGTTTTCTCTGATGCAAAATCCTCTTGCTCAGAAAGCTAAAGTCCGTGATGAATTCAGTTCACAGATACTGTACACTTATTGTACAATACTTTGGAGGCATCTGTAGTTGTAAAACAGAATATACAAGTCTGTTTCACAAAACTCAAAAAATAAAATATATCCTGGGCTATAGATAAAGCATGAAAAAAAAATTCATATTAAAGGAAAATTACCAAGAGAACCCCATTCGGGTAAATTATTAAATCTATGGATCAAGAAAGGAAGCAGTTTGTGTGAATGCAGATCAAGCAGGCTTTGCTAACAAGCGTGCTCGGCTTCTTCCATGCTCATACTACTCCTCCGGCTGCTCGTTTTAGACGCTCCAGGTGATACCGAGGAAAGCAGCGGATCAGTTACACCAACAGGAGAAAGAGTATCGTCCATCAAGATGTCTTCCAGTTTAGCTCCCATTTTCGCGGGCACGCAATAGACTTGGTTGCTCTCAGTTCCGGTTCCGAGGCTGTTATTGAAGGTGATGGTACCATCTGTGAGATCAAGGGTGGTTGTGCAAGTTAGGTCTGTGTGATGCTGAAGGAGGTCTTGGTTGCAGTTTTCCAGGACAGGTTCTTGCTTGATGACACGATTCACCAAGTCTGGAGAGCAGAGACCCGTGGATGGAATAAGGGAAAGTCCATGAGCTCGAGCTTGCATTTCAAGTTCCTGAAATAAAAGTAAAAGTCAGATACTTGGAGAAGGAAACAAAGTTGTGTTTTGTTTTGTTTTTTTCTCTTTTAAATCAATAACCCCCGCATTGCTAAAGTTTATGTGATGGATACCCAGCCATGCAGAAGGCCTGTCGATCTGCTTCTATAAGGATTACAGCCAAGAAAACCGTATGGAGCAGTTCTACTCTGTAACACATGGGGTCGCCATGAGTCAGAATCAGCTCAATGGCAATGAGTTTCAATGGGTAGTATATGAAATGATTTTTTTTTAGATGGTATATTGATTTTATTCTGCATTTAAAAAACAGGGAGATAAGATCTCATAGGTATTAATGTTCACAGTGAGGTTATTGTAAAAAAATATATAAAAATAAATTTTTAAAAAGTGAGCTAATTATAGGAAAATATTAAATAATATAGATCCACAGGTCCCAGACTTTGCACTGTAGTATCCAGGGGTGCTGCAATGAACCGACAGGGCACTGGAGCATATTTTAAAATTTCAAGGGAAACACAGCAACGTCACCGCGATTACTACTAAGTTCAAGATAGTTCACAGTTTCAGCACTAGATCGTGCTACATTCTTTTTGATAACATCATAAGCATAGCAAAGCTGTGTTTTTGAAGGCTGCTGTGATAAAAAGAAATTACTGCACGAAAAACAAAGTGGAACTTACAAATGAGGGTGCTGGTGTCCAATCTGATGCCAAGGTTTAAGAAGTTGTGTAGTGCTCAACAGACGAACACATCCCATTAGTAATTGTGGTTATTTAAAAATAAAACAGAAACGCCACTTTTTCTTTCAATTCTATATTTTGTTTTTTCAAATGGCTACGAAGTGATCAGGACATAAATATTTAATATGCTGTTTGGACTTAAGGGAGAAAACAGTAGATATTTCTTTGGGTCTAGAGGTACAGTTGGAAAAGCTACTCAGAGGCTAAGAGCGCTGTGAACAAGTCTGGGACTCGGGCGTAGCAATGGCAAACGCTGTGAAGGTCTGTCTGTTCAAGTGACCAAAGTTGGAGAGGCACCATCTAACCCATCTCACCAGGGCAAAGGGAAAAGTTTTGTCTTTACTCCACAAGAAAGTTCTCATCTGTCAGATACAATTTTTTTTTGTACATTTTCTTCACATACTTTCTTGAGGTTCAGTGACTTCTCCATCCCTCATTCTAAAATGCCTTCCCAGCAAGCTCCTTCCATTTTCTCTGAGTATCCACTTCTGAAATGAACCACAGAGACCCCAATTCACTCCCTGATGAGCGTCCTGACCCTACATGCAATGCCGTCTCTATGGTTATGGTATCATGGAAATAACAACAATAATAACAGAGTATAAATTTGAAGCAAGTCACCTTGCCACATCACAGAGGAAAAAGGACTCTCCAACATGGCACGGCTTCTCAATCTTTGCCCACAAGGAGAAACACATGCTCCTGGACAGTCAAGTTCAGCCTATACAAAGGTGGTTTGACCTGGAGTATCTGTCTCTGCAGGCAATACAGTAAGAGATGGGTGCCTGAGAAGACACACACGTATCTGCAGGTTCCTTCACACAACCTCCAAAACCACAAGTCTCTCCAGGCGTCATTTGAAAGCCTGGGCTATTTAATACAATGGCAGTTCCACTGATATTCAGGCTTCATGCTCTTTCTTTTGTGAAAATTTCTGCATGCATCAGTTAGAGTGACAATGAAAGGAAGCCCTAAGGCCCAGGCTGAAAACATGTGGTCCTGTAAATCTACGCCACTGCGCTAATAAGAACAGCACCCCCACACATGCAGCTTGCCTTTCCATGAAGTAAAGTTGGATTAAGAGAGGCTAACACGCTACTCTAATCCTTTGTTGTTTAATTAAAAATGTTTATCAGTTGATTAAAGCATTACTTAGATTTCTAAATAATGCGATAAATTGCATCTAGAAAACTGTGGCTGGTGGCACGACACAGCTTTCCTAATTAATAATGTTTTCTGTGATATGCAAAAGAGGTAGTGGCTGCCTCACACTGTCACTGGAAGCAAACCAAGCCATCGTCACTCTGGAACTTCCCGTTTACATATTTTACAATATTCATATTTCGCATGAATATACATGTTTGCAACCTTAAAATAAAACAAGACCTCACTTCTCTTTCAAAATAGCTGTTACATTTTAATGCTTATATAAAGAAATAATACATCGGTACAACTGCTTTTATAAATGGGTATACTAAGTTCAAGACCGTAGATACCTATGGCCACCAGTCACCCGTCAGTTTGTTGTACTGTGGTTTTCGTGTTGCTGTGATGCTGGAAGCTATACCACTGGTATTTCAGAAACCAGCAGCGTCACCCATGGTGGACAGGTTTCAGTGGAGCTCCTGGACTAAGACAGACTAGAAGGAAAGGCTTGGTGATCTCTTTCCAAAAATTAACCAATGACTACCTTATGGATCACAAGAGAATATTGTCTGGTATGGTGCTGGAAGATGGGTCCTCTAGGTTGGAAGGCACTCAGCGTACACAGTGGATGCAACAATGGACTCAAACACGCCAACAATCATAAAGATGGCTCAGGACCAGACAATGTTTCATTGTGTTATAACAAGGTTGCCGTGTCAGAGCGGACTCATGGCAACTAGCAACAATAACAACTTATTGAAGAGATACAAGATAAAACAAACAACAAAAGCCGAAAGGGGGAGGGCTGGAGGAAGACTTTAAAATTACACATAACCTCTAGTTCACTACCCAGAGGAATCCTTGGGTGGGGCAAACGGTAAACGGGTTCAGCTGCTAACCAACAGGTTGGAGGTTCAAGTGTACCCACAGGCACCTCAAAAGAAAGGCCTGGTGATCTATTTCCAAAAAAATCAGCCATTGAAAACCCTACAGAGCACAGTTCTACTCTGACACATGGAGGGTTGCCGTGAATGGGAGTTGACTTGGTAACAACTGGTGCAGCGTGATGAATTACTTAGATGAGACTTATATAAAAGAAATGATTCATTTAACTGCTTTGGTTTCACTACCCAGATCTAAAACATAACCCCCAGAGGAGAACTTCCTTCCGCTTACTGACCCCACAGCTGGGGATCACCGCAGTGAAAGGGAGAGGTGACATCCCGCCGTGTGAGTGGTGCTGTGGAACAAGAAAATGACTAGAAATCATTAACTCTAAATGAATCGCTCTGTTAACTACGTTCAGCGTCCGGATTAACACGGTTAGGTCAAACACACTGGTCTCTAACGTGTCACACTTTACGTTTCCGTTCCATAAAATCGCTCCGTAAAGAGTTGCATTGGGATTCTGAGAACCACTCTGGGTTCTATGGCAAAATACAGTAAAGCACGGGTCCGTCTCCTCAAGAAAAAGATGTGGCATCACTGACGTAAGTTGCATTCCAAAGTCGGCAAGTAAATTAAAACTGCCCTCAGCTCCCCCAGGCAACAGCAGAGTCAGTTTTTCTTTCTTTCCTTCAGGACAGTTTCAGAGGAAGATGTGTCTTTAAATTCAGCATCAGAAGCTGAGCACCTAAGGGAAGTACTAGGAGTTGATATGAAGGAGGATTCTCCCATGTCATGTGTACATTTGCTGAATGGAATGATGGACAAACTGCACACATTATAAAAATCAGTCTTTCTCCCTCCTCCCTCCCTAAAGAGTGTATACGTTAATTGATATTAAAATACATAAAAAATTCTACTCTCTATAACTATTTTCAAGCGTTTCCTTATTATAAGATCCACTAGGTGTCCTCACATTCCCTGTAAACATGGGCTTTGAACATGGACTATCCCCCTACCGCCATCTCTTAAATACTAAGGCAGCCACGTATTTAACAAGTATTAGCATCATGTAAGTCAACTGTCTATGCTCCTGATATCCTTCCTTCTTCTATTCTGAAGCCAATAGTATGTAGTAACCACCACCCCTCAGTCATTTGTTGTATTGTACTGGCTTGTGTGTTGCTGTGATGCTGGAAGCTATGCCACCAGTATTTCAAATACCAGCACGGTCACCCATGGTAGACAGGTTTCAGTGGAGCTGCTAGACTCAGACAGACAAGGAAGAAAGGTCTGGCAATCAATGTCCACAAATTAGTCAATGAAAACCCTATAGATCACAACAGAACATTGTCTGATACAGTGCTCGTTAGAAGGCACTCAGAATACAGTGGCCACAACAATGAATCCAACCATCGTGAAGATGGCACAGGACTGGGCAATGCTTCGCTCTAGTGTACGTGGGGTTGCCGTGAGTCGGGGCTGACTCGATGGCACCTAACAACAAGCAGCACATAGTAACCGCTGCACGACACGGGTCACAGACCTGAATTCTGAGCAGCAAATGCCGGTTGGCATGCTCCAGTTTCTTCTGTCGGTTTTCAAGCTCCTTTGCGCGTTGCTGTTCCCGTTGCAGCTTTCGAATATAGTCCACGGACGCTTTTAAAATGGTTCCCTTGTTCCAGCGCATGTCTCTGAGGAAAAGAGACTTTTTAGGATGTGAGACTCAATGGAAATGGCAAGCGTTCAGTTTCTAGAGGTGTAATAACAGTGCTGGCGTTATAAACTGCTGTCATTCACTGAGTGCTTCTCACGTGCCAGACACTGCCCACCATCACCTCTTACAGGTGATCTTATTTCACCCAGACAAGCACCCTGTGAGGGAGTGACACAACACAGGTGTTGCAACACAGAAGCTTCACCTGGCCCGAGGTCACGGAGCCGATATGAGGTAGAGTCACTTATTTAAATTGAGGCCTGTTGATTAGGCCAAAGTTAATATTCTTCAGCATAATTTGAAATAGTTACATGTTTCTAGGATCATAAATCTAACTCAGTCAGACACAATGAGCTATGATTAAAAACACAAAGCAAAATAAAAACAAAAACCCACTACTTGATGGTGTGTGGCATAAAAGTAGCAGCCCTGCATTTTATTACGAATAACGTGAACAGGTGATCTGACCTTTCTCTGTCTCTCTTTCCTTGTCTGTAAAGTGGCCATACTACACTTGTATTACCTGCCTTGTACGTAAGCTATTAGAATCGAAGGAGATACTTGATGTGGACATGCTGGGAAAAGTTTAGAACCCAATTCAAATAATGGAGCAGGTACTGTGTTAAGGGCTCAACATATTATAATAAGTACCTTTAAGTAGCATTTACTATGTGTCAGGTACATTTATAAGTGTCTTACAGCTCATTTAAACATGACAATCTTCAGTGGGTAGTACTAACAGTGTTTTACAGATGAGGAAACTAAAGCACAGAGAGGTTAAAGAATTTGCCTAACATCACACAGCTAGGAAGTGGCAGAGCCAGAGAGTCTAAGAAATCCAGCTCCAGGGACCATGCCCTAAGCCACTTACTCTGTCCTCCACCTTCTAGGATTGATTCTTCAAAACAACTAGACTAGGTAGGAATATTCTGATCCTTTTTTTAAACAGATGAGAAAAATAAAGTACAAGAACTCAAGTACCTTCCCCAAGGTCAGACAACCTAGTAAAGAACTGGTTTGGAATTCAAACCCAGGCATCCTGAACTTGGTGCCTCTCAGTTCGTAACCACTATAGCTCTAATGTACTCATGTATGAGAAAATTAAGAACATCATTAAAATGTACGCAAAAGCACCTTAGAAAATTTAGAGCACCCCAGAAAAATAACTATTGAGAATGTATTACATAAGTAATAGCATAGCATATTTCTACTGTGCTTTAATTAATCTGAGCCCTTCTATAGACAAATATTCATGATAATAATGACAACGACGATAATGAAAGCAAAAACAATTTCATGTATGGAGACTCACCTACCCCATCATCTATAGCTACAAAAGCAGATGGGAAGTATTAGGTGGGACATGCAAATGGAGAAATGGAGTGGCATTAAAACAAGCCACCAAGTAATTGATCCTCACGCGTGGGTTAGATGAAGAAGAAAACAGAAGTTCTCCAAGAAGGGCAGAAGTACAGCCCCCCGAGAACTCCCTGGGGTTAATCCCTGGGGTCTGAGCACCAAAGACAGCAACTCAGGGAGGTGTCCTGAGCTACCTGGGGTGAGTGGAGAGCAGACTTAATGTTCAGGGCCGAGATCAAAGTCACAGAAGCTCTGGTAGCCACAGAGAAATGTAATTATAATGAACAATGGCCCAATTAAGCCAGTAAGGTGCAAAGCAGTATTGGAACATGCAAGCAGCTATTCAAAGTTTTTATGAAATGGCTATTTCAAACCAATTAACTTGGGTTATGCTTCCTTCTGAGACCCAATCAATTAATTATACTTGTGGAAGATTTTTGATTTTTTTTTTAATGAAAAGGACCCTTTTTCTTTTTTTGTCCAAACAGAAGTGTACACAGATCCCCAATATGCAAAATCAACAGAAGCACAACTTCCCCGGGAGTATGGGGCAGAGACCCTCATCAGCTAGAGGCTGTGTCTCTGTAGAAGCCCCAAGGCAGGCTCCAGGAACCTGGCATGGGAAAACCACCATACAGATATAGTGCGTTTTATCTTAAAACAATGCCTACAATTAAAGATCTCTATCATTTCAGATTATAAACACGTAACTATCCTAATACAATGGAGACAGAAGATATGCAAATAGTACAGGCTTTCACTGCAGCCCCGTAATTTCATAATATGTTGCTAAAGAGATTCACATGCTACAGTTTAAAAGAATATGCTAACAAGTGAAAACTGATAAAGAACAGGAAAATGGGAATTCAATTTCAACTATCATGCAAGACTGACTATAGGAAATGAAGGTCACAGCCTCTTAGTAGGATAAATTTGTGCTGCAGAACTGAGAATTTGAACGTTTCGAGTTTCAAAATGGCTTTCCTTGAAAGCTGGGAAAGCAAAATGTTGAAGATGGAAATTGTGCTTGAACATTTATCAAAACCACCTCACAATGGGCGATGTTCTTATTTTATTTTGTCACAAATTCCCTGACAATAATGTGAATAGCAAATTTAATAAGCTTTCCATGGATAATGCTTGATTTCATTTTTACATTTTATTAGGTAGCTAAAAGGTCATATTCAAAGGCTAATTTGAGAGAAGGCCTGTGGGGGCCATTAAAGTGTATACATCCCCTAGCCCCTGGCTTTAAATGGGCCAATTTCTAATGGATAAAAATCGTGTATTGTTGTCCTGTTTGCTGACGTTGCAGGTAACTAGAAGGTTGGTATGGGAGCTATGAGAAAATTATTTTTAGAACTGTTATCTCTGAAAGGGGGATGCTGGCAGTGAAGGAGTATCAAAAGTTAAAATTCAAATTAGCTGGCCTGTACTTACAAGAGGATCAAAACTTAATTTTTCTTGACGGTAACACAGACAAAGAGCACGCAAGTTTTTGTAAAAACTGACTTTTAATCTGTCGAATATTGTTAAACTTGAGGTTTCTAATATCTGCTCGTCAGTGCCTATAGATACTGCATAAGTTGAAGAGCAAATAGACAACATATCTTGCTTTAACAGCTATTGAACTCTGTACTGCATGAACTGTTGAAATAATATATATTTTTTTAGTACCTCAGTATTTACTTGCCAAGGATTCTTGGATTTCAGAAAACTGCCTGCTGACACCCAGAGCTAAACACCTCATGTCCAGGAATCCTTTGGCACAATTCAGTGTGTTTCCCTCAAAATTGTAATCCAGTGAGACTAAGCAAAGGAAAGATGTAAAAATTATTTAGGAATCAAAAGGGTTGGGAGGAATTCTTTACTCTAGCTTTTTATAACTGAGCATTTTTGCAACATACGAAGAAAACATTAAGGTATGAAAAAATATATGATGCAGATTAACACACAATTGTACTCACGGATCATTTGACTTGGGAATCAAAGTACCTAGTTCTTTAATGCGGTCATTTATGTTAAATCTTCTCCTTCGTTCAACTTCAAGAAAAGAGCACAGAACACGGCTATTAGTAACTGCACCACATACGCATTTAGCACATCTCATTGAAGGCACGTGCATATTAACTTCACCACTTCAGGAAAATGGAAACCTGAGCCTATTTCCCCCGTTATTCCACGTTTTTGGTACTGAGGTCAAAGAACTTAAAAAAATGAGTAACCCTTGTATAGAACTTTATCGTTTACAAAGTCCTTAGATAAAAAATGTCTCCTATTTGATCCTAAAACAATATTGAAATCCAAGTTACTATCCTCACTTACAAATGACAAAAGAACCTTAGAGATACTAAGGCAAATAAACAGTGAACAGTCAGAACTCAAACCTCGATCCTCTAGACCAGAGGTCAGAAAACTTTTTCTCCAAAGCCCAGACAGTATTTTAGGCTTTGCAGGCCGAGTGACAAGACAGGGGATGTTATATAGGTACTTACAATCACAAGACAGAAAAGAAATTTCCATAATTTTTTAATGGAGTCCTATTTTTCTAATGTAATTCCACTAATAAGAAGCACTGGAATTGTTTTATGATGTTGAAACTTGAATATTAAAATAATTTTCACATGTCACACATATTCTTCTTCTGTTGATTTTCCGCCCAACAATTAAAAAATGTAACAAACATTCTCAGTTCACAGACCATACAAAAACCCCAGCCCTAGGCCAGCACTGTCCCACAGAAGTATAGTGCAAGTAATATACGTAATTTTAAATTCTCTAGTAGCCACATTAAAAAAGTAAAGAGGTTAAATTAATTGTAATATTTTTTAGTCCAATATGTCTAAAATATTATCATTTCAACATGAAATCAATATAAAAATTATAAATTAGATGGTTTACATTCTTTTCTTCATACTAAATTTCAAAATCCAGTACATAAAGAAAACAAAAATCTTCACAACTGGACCAATAAGAAACATCATGACAAATGGAGAAAAGATTGAAGGTGTCAAGGATTTCATTTTACTTGAATCCACAATCAACACCCATGGAAGCAGTACTCAAGAAATCAAATGACGCACCGCACTGGGCAAATCTGCTGAAAAGACCTCTTTAAAGTGTTAAAAAGCAAAGATGTCACTTTGAGCACTAAGGTGCATGTGATCCAAGCCATGGTATTTTCAATTGCCTCATATGCATGCGAAAGCTGGACAACGAATAAGGAATACCGAAGAAGAATTGATGCCTTTGAATTGCGGTGTTGGTGAAGAATATTAAATATACTATGGACTGCCAGAAGAATGAACAAATCTGTCTTGGAAGACGTACAGCCAGAATGCTCCTTAGAAGTGAGGATGGCGAGACTTCGTCTCATGTACTTTGGACATGTTATCAGGAGGGACTAATCCCTGGAGAAGGACATTATGCTTGGTGAAGTAGAGGGTCAACAAAAAAGAGGAAGACCCTAAATGAGATGGACTGACACAGTGGCTGCAACGATGGGCTCAAACATAGCAATGATTTTGAAGATGGTGCAGGACCAGGTAGTGCTTTGTTCTGTTGTACACAGGGTCGCTAAGAGTCAGAATCAACCTGATGGCACCTAACAACAACATCAACACAAGATAATAGATGTTTCTAATTTACCTAGTACAGCAAATAATTCCAAATAATTTACGGTCTAATACATTGGGTTAAAGTTGTTCATATTTTATGTTTAAAAATATTTATAATCGAAAACACCCTACTCCTCACTTATCGGGTATCTTGTTATCCGACATTTTGCATTTACGACAGTAGTAAAAAATCTACTATCCTACTATTTTGCACATTAACTATGTACACCTTGCAGTAATGAACACTGAGGCACAAGGCGAGAGTAATGCTGGCTGTGATGGTTAAGGTTATGTGTCAACTTGGCTGGGCCATGATTCTCAGTGGTTTGGCAGTTGTGTAATGATGTAATTTGATAGTTATGCAATGATGTAGTCATCCACCATTTTGTGATTTAATGTGATCATCCCCCATTTTTGCATAATGCCAATTTTTGCATAATGACCTGGTCTTTGGAACCTAACCTGTCGGTAAGTGAGGAGTAAGAGTACTAAGTGATTGCCAATGGCTATGAAGAAGGAGTTTTTGGACTACGTATCCTCTAAGCTAATCTCCTCCAAAACTCTGAAACAAGACATTTTTCTTAGTTTTACCAAATTTAATTATAAAAATTCAAACAATACTGAAATACATAAAGTAAAAAGTGAAATAAGTCTCATATAAATCCAGATATCACCAATGTTAAATTTCTTATATATCTCTTTATGACTATTTTTTTATGCTCTAAAAATACACACACACGCACACACACGATCCCCAGTACTGAGTCCTTAGAACTCTTTCTCTATCTACATTTCCTTCCTGATTATCTCATTTAGTCTCATAATTTTGAGTTCCACATTAATACTTCCAGCACAGACATCTTCCCAGAACTCCAAACTCATAACTGATTACTAGATGTCCCCACATGGAGGTTTATCGATAGCCCAAACATAAGCTCCTTGGTCTTTCCAGTTCACATCTACTCCACTTACCCACCACCCTCCCCCACAAAAAAAAAAATTGCTATCAGCTTGACTCCAACTCATGGTGACCCTATGTGTGTTACAGTAGAAGTGTGTTCCATAGGGTTTTCAATGGCTCAGTTTTCAGAAGGAGATCACCAGGCCTTTCTTCTGAGGCACCTCTGGGTGAACTTGAACTTCAACCTTTCGGAGCAGCTAAGTGTATCAACCGTTTGTACCACATAGGGGCTGCACTCCATCCACAGACTTCTCTTAATGATAACTCCATCCATTCAAAAGCTTAGGCCAGAGCCTTTGAATCAATTCAGCACCTCCCTTCTTTTCACATCTGACACCTGCTCAAATCTGCAGGCTCTACCTTTAAAATATTTCCAGAATATGACCACTTTCCAACCTCCATTGCTACAGCTGGAAGGATACCACCGTCTCTTGCCTGGATTATAGCAATTCTCAGCTGCTGTCTCTGCTTTCCCCATGCCCACTGCTTCCATCCCCTTCAGTCTATCTAGAACACAGCAGCAGAGGGATGCTGTTAAATAAAACATAAGGCAGATCACATCGAACCTTTGCTCAAAACCCTTCAACAGCTTTCCACATCACCTAGAGAAAAGCCAAGTCTTTGAGGCCTCCTATAAGGATCTGGCAGGCTCCTACCCCTCGGCCACTCTGACCGTATCTCTTACTGTGTTGTACCCGCATTCCTCCCCTTCAGGCCCACTGGCGTCCTTGCTATTTTCCACCAAACCCAATACACTCCCCACCTTAGGACTTTATACTTCCGTCTCCCCTGCTTGGAACACCCTTTCCCGAGATATCTGATGGCTTGCTTCCTCCTCTCCTTCAGGTAGTTACTCAGATTTACCTGTGAGGCTTCATGGGCCACGCTACTTAAAACTGGCCCACCATCCCCTACACCTATCAATGATACTCTATTTTTCGGCAGTCTTTCTCCTGATAACAACACGTTCTACCATCTAACATCCACACCTTTCATTTATTTACTTACTTCGTTTACCTACTGTTGCATTGAGGAGCCCTGGTGGCACAGTGCTGAAAGCACTCAGGTTCACAGTTTGAACCCACCAGGTGCTCCGTGGGAGAAAGATGTGGCAGTCTGCTCCCATAAAGATTACAGCCTTGGAAACCACCCTATGGGGTAGTTCTACCCTGTTCTGTAGGGTTGCTATGAGTTGGAGTTGACCCAATGGCAATGAGTTTACTGTTGCATTCCAAGCACCCATACGTGCCTGGCATATAGTAAGCCCTCAACAAATATTTGTTAAATAAAGAATGATACATTTAAAGTGAAGTTACACAAAAAAATATTCTGCATCTTTCTTCTTTCACTTCGTAGCATATTGTTGATACTTCTCCCTGTCAGGACATTTAAATGTGCCACTCTTTATTTTTAATTCAACGCCTTCCGTCCTCAACTATTATTTTACGATAAGAGTAATATAAGTTTGTAAAAAAATTTTAAAAGTACAGAAGTATATAAAGGTAAAGGTCAACTCTTTATACCACTCAATACCTACTAAAACAAACAAACCCATTGCCATCAAGTCGATTCTGATTCACAGCGACCCTACAGGACAGACTAGAACTGCCCCATAGAGTTTCCAAGGAGAGGCTAGTACATTTGAACTGCTGATCTTTTGGTTAGCAGCTGAGCTCTTAACCACTGCACCACCAGGACTCCTCAATACCTATATGACTGGGGAAACTGTCATTGATAAAGGTGACTTCTAGATCTTCTCCCATGCACACATAAACAAATACCAGCACATCCCTATATAATGTGCACTTCATTCATTGTGTGGTACTATACATACTATTCTGTCATGTGCTCTTCTCATTCAACAACATATTGTAGACATCCATCTAAGTCTAACGCACCCACTTCATTCTTCACCAGGGACCACTGTGTATCCTTTACATGGATATGCCATCATTTATTTATAAATTCTCTAGTGATGAACATGTGGGCTACTTCCAATTTCTCCCTTGTTTTCAAAGGCACTATAAATTCTTGTGCCAGTGCTCATATGCATATTTCCTCCTGGTCATAGTATTTAAGCTATGTCTGAAAACACCATGTTAATATATTTGTTGTTCTTCTATTCTACCTGCCCTGGACTCTAACGTAAGCTCATAAAAGGATAGGGGGCCTGTCTGACTGGTTCACTTCTACAGAAAAGGGCTTCATATATAATAGGGGCTCAATAAACAGTTAATGGCCAAATGAATAAATGAATGTATTCCTTTGGAAGGAATGGCAAATATTCTTACAAGATAAATTCCTAGCAGAGGAAGAGCTACGCCCAAGGGCAATCTGACCTGGAGTATTAATTTCTAATGGTTAGATATGATTTTAAAGGTTGTTTTATTGCCCTCAGAATTTGAGCTAATCATGTTTGCATTTTACTGACAACCCTGGACTTGAGAGTTTAGGTGCCTAATCAAAGGCAAATATTATTTTTGACAAGATCCAACTTCATTTTCCACATTTTAGTTAAGTGAAGTTTTGGATACTATCTAATTATCATATTTTAAAATATTTTAAAAGGAGAAATATTTTAGAGTAAAATTACTTAGAAGCTGGAAGGAATCTTAGAAATCATTAGTCCAAATCTTTTAAGTTAAAAGATGAGGGAAGTTTTTCATACCTAAAACAGACATAATGCCAGGCAGTATCTACTGAAAGGAAAAACACATACTCGGAGACCCACAATTCCATTTGTCAGCATCCAACCTTGAAAACCACCACCCACTTGTCAGTGTGTCAGACTGTGATGGTGTGTGTGTTGCTATGATGCTGGAAGCTATGCCACCAGTATTTCAAATACCAGCAGGGTCACCCATGGTGGACAGGTTTCAGCCAGCAGACCTTCTGGACTAAGACAGACTAGGAAGAAAGGCCTGGTGATCTACTTCCAAAAATTAGCCAATGAAAATCCTATAGATCACAACAAAATAATGTCTGATACAGTGCTGGAAGAGGAGCCTCCTAGGCTGGAAGGCACTCCAAATACACAGTGGCTGCAACAATGGACTCAAGCAGAGCGACGATCATGAAGATGGGGCAGGACCAGGCAGTGTTTTCTTCTGTTGTACATGGGCTTGCCATCAGTCAGAGCTGATTCGGTGGCAACCAACAACAACAGCAACCTAGAGAAACAGACCCCCCTGCACACAAAGAAGCCCGCACAAGAATGTTCACTGCGGTACTGGCTATAACCGAGCAAAGTGAAGACCGTCTGAACACTCAGCAGCAGGGGAATGACTCAACATCACACGTGCCACTGTGGAGAACTCTGCAGCCATTTTTAAAAAGTCGGTAGGTCTACATTTCTACCAGCAAAAAGGCTTCCAGACAAACCGTTGAGTTAAAAAAATATGCAGCAACCAGATATAGACACTATTATACTGTTTGTGTTAAAATATACACAAAACAAGGTTATTTTCTATTTGCGTGCGCATGAGTGTATATTCTTAAATACACAGAAAAAGGTCGGGACGTGCAGAATCAAACTGAAAAAAAAAAAAAAAAAAAAATGGTTACCCCTGGGGATCAAGGAGGAACATCAGAGAACTCTGGTATTGTTCTATGATGGTTTACTTCTTATAAGGAGAAAAGTGTTTATATATTAACTCATATTCTTAAAAATCAAGTTAGGAAAAAGAGGATCTGAGGCCATGAAATGGGAGATACATACCACACAGACACACACACCCATTTTCTTCCTCCAGGCCCGGTTCTTTTTTTATTGTGCAGTCTCTCTTACTTGTTTATTAAACAAAAATTTAAGCTTTCATAGGAAAAAGGTTTAAAATTTTGGATTGCGATTAAATTAAACATGTAAAAAATACGTTAAATGGTACAGGACTTCAAAAAAAAAATTACAGATAAAGACAGAAATTTGGGAGTCCACCTCGTCCATTCCCTCCCTTCCAAATTATTTTTTTCTTTCCTTTCAAATCTCACTGGAGAAGGTGATCCCATAATGTCCTTTGTTAATAAGTTCCAGGGTGAGCAACACTTACAATTGCGTAGTTGGGGATCCAGACTACCTCTCACCAAAAAAAGAAAAACAGTAATAACAAGACTACTATAAACAGGGAATATAAACACTCTTCAGGTACTGAAAACAAGTGTATAAACAAACTCAATTTGATGATCTCATGTGAAATTTGGGGAAAAAATATATGCCTTGGTTTCTCTGAAATAAAATTTTCCTTCATATAATGTACCTTTAACATCTATAGAAATCAATTTCCTTTCAAAATTTCTGGAAAAATATTTTGATGTATGAGCCAATCTCTACTCCAGTATCGAATGTCATGAATATAAATAAAACCAACTTACTCAAATTGTGATTGTCCTTTTTTTGCCTCTCTTTAGCCAATGCTCTTGCTTCAGACTCTGTGGGAAAAATACACGCTGTGCACGTGAATGAAGTAATTAGAAATTGGAATTGTTCAAGGCACACAATAAAATAACAAATGATAAAACTACAAAATCCTATTAAACTCAACTACAAAACATCTCATTTTCTATACATATGGAGGCTTCTATATCTCAGTTCTAGGTACAATTTTTAAAAAAGCAATATATATAAAATAAATGCAAAAACATGGCTTTCACAATACGGTAAAAGAATTATGGCACAATGTAAACATACTCAGGTACTAACAAGAATAAAATAACTAGAAAACCAGGGAACTTCACTGTTAAGATTCTACTCTCAGGAGTCAAGTCCAATTTTCTTTTTAAGCCACAGAACTTCTCAATCTTTGCTTTCTGCCTTCACAAAGTAACACACTAACATGGAAACTGAGTAGACAGGCCCCAGATGATCTCCATGTTCTCTGACGGATTCATGGAAAGGAACTCATTTTTTCAGAACTTGGAGCCAGGTTCTTCCAGAACATTATTTAGTGAAATTATTCAGTGACTCTTAGGAGCAACTGCTTACTACTTTTAGTCTATTAAAAAAGAAAAAAAGGGCAGTGGAGTTGCCTTTGGTGGCAACTCCATTTGAAAAGGTCTGTTTGCACAGACACTCTTAGGACAGCTGTGTGATACAGATTGCATTTTTTGCCTTACCAAGAGCAAAACTAAACAAAACCTCAGGTTGTTGGACTAATACTAGGATTCCGGAATCTCTTCAGAAGTGATATCTGAAATATTACACTATCATAATTCAGAATTTTACCTCAAAATAGCAATCTTTTTCTGCCTGATTTATAGGCGCTGAAATATTGTTTGTGTGTGTGTGTGTGTGTGTGTGTGTGTATACATGGCTGTGGCTATAAACTATGCATATACATTTATTATATGTATATTCAATTTTTTCAATTGTAAAACTCAATCCAAAACAAGATTATTTGCTTTTCCGTATAGAAGATGGGCAACTTTTATTCACAGTGTCCACTTCAGCGATATCCTAGGTTATTCTGTTTTGTTTCTGAGGAAACAATCATACACACAATTCAAAATTTCACTTTCCATTCAAGTTGTAAGAATTTTATTCACGTCATGTTGGCAATATTTTATCATTTTCTAATAAAAATCTCATTTGGCAATACTTTCTAAGTCTTCATGGTTCTTTTCCTTCCTGGTAGAGTACCTACTTGTTTTTTGGCTTTTGACAATTCTTGTTTATTAATAATTAATCAATAAATCACATTTTCAACCCAAATTAACTTTCTAAAGTATTATTTTAAAGACACCTTGAATAGAGCTAGAATTTTTTACACCATATTCTCTGTTCACCCAATTGATGCAAGGACCCTTTCCCCCAAAGAAGTGGGGGGCATAAATTCAGCATGGTACAATACCAGTTATAATATAGTTTTTGTCATGTTTTCTTGGCCAAATTCCTTCCCTAAAGCATTAAACAAAATGGCAAAATAGGTAATTTCACACTTGCCTCAAGGACAAACATCCTTTGCTCCAGTTTATAATTTTCTCTGTATAAAAAATCCTTTGTACATGATATAGCAAAAATAGCATCAGACTTCGAAAATATAAGAAATGTAGGCTCGAATATGTATCGAAGGACATTTCAGACCAACGTTCTCAAACTCAAATGCTGTCTTGGCGAGCAACATAAATACCAGGCTGGTGTAGACATTTTAGAGATGAAGAGGGTTGCCTGGCCCCTCACCCTAAAGAAGACAGCAACCATAGACACAGTGTTGTGGCCATGGAGCAATGGCGGCCCAGATTCCCAGTATCTCAAGAAACACTGGAAACCAGGATTTTTAAGTATAATTCCTCCATTTTAAAATATTGCTCAATTTTTTAAACCACCGTATAGACCTAACAAAGTATGTCTGTGAGTTGGATAGAGTCTGGAGGGCTTTATTTTGAGAACTTTGCCTTATCAGGATGTTAAGAGAAAATCCACAGCAAGAGACACATCTGATTGGTATTTACCTGTGAGCTCCCTTTTTATGTTGGGAAGGTTGGCTGGACAGGAGTTGCTGATGGTCAGGCCTGGGGGTGGTAAGCCTTGGTTACCGTAAAGGTCAATCAAGTTACCGGAGACAGGTAACTAGAGAGAGAAAAACAGTAACAGAAATGAAGTGCTGAACGATTCCTATGTTATTCAGAAAAAACCTACCTACTATTTCAGACTTTAAGGCAAATGTTGTGATGTAAAAAAAAATCATTTTTTAAAATAGGAAAACATGAGATGTTTACACTTTCATTCATTCATAGAAGTGAAAAGTAGAGGTATATGGTCTTCTTAGCTAATTCCCTTGGGAGAGGAAAGGATGCAGCATCTCACACCGATAAAATGGTTATACTACCTGGCTTACAGGTTTATTTTGAATATGAAGACAATGGATAATGAGGCCAACACATTATCTAGTATATTTAGTAGTATATAGCAAATGTTCGATGTTGTTAGTTGCTCTCAAGTAGACTCCGACTTATGGTGAACTCAAGTATACAGAGTAGAACAGCAATCCATAGGGGTTTCAAGGCTGCGACCTTTAGAAGCAGATCACCAGATTACTTCCAAGGCGTCTCTGGGTGGGTCTGAACTGCCAACCTATCGGTTAACAGTCCAGTGCTTAACCATTTGCGCCACCCAGGGACTGCTTAGATGTCCAACAGAGGTTGGCTATGATGCACTTGAGTTATAGTGTTGGTGAAAAATACTGAATATACCATGGACTACCAGAAGAATGAACAAGTCTGTCTTGGAAGAAGTAGAGTCAGAATGAACCTTGGAAGTGAGGATGGCTGGAGAAGGACACAGTGCTTGGTAGAGAGTCAGCGAAAAAGAGGAAGACCCTCAACAAGACAGACTGATACAGAGGCCACAACAATGGTCTCAAACAGAGCAGTGATTGTGAGGTGGCACGGGACCAGGCAGCATTTCGTTCTGTTGTATGCAGAGTCACTATGAGTTGGAACCAACTCTATAGCACCTAACAACATTATCACAAAATAGGATTCTCCATGGGATGACGTTTTTCAACAAATCAGGTTTTTCACCAAAGTCAATTTCCTTCCTTCTCTTCCTCTATTCTTTCTTCTCTCTCTTTCTGTTAGAAGGAAAAGCAATAGAATTGTTTCCTTACTGGAAAAGAAATATTTTCCTTATTGCTAAAGATAAACCAGTTTTCCTTGAGAAGTGAAATTTTTCACAAGGCCACAAGAGGGAGCCCACTGACTTCAATAAAAGAACAAAAATTTTACATTTAAAAAAAAAAAAAGAATAAACGAAAAAGCTATCCCAAGCTAGTTTAAAAGTTTTATTCTCTAGTTCTGAACTGAATATTTTAAAGTAATGCACTTTTTTTTTCTATATACAACCCATTGCTGTCAAGTTGATTCCGACTCCTAGCGACCCTATAGGACAGAGTAGAACTGTCCCATAGGGTTTCCAAGGAGAGTGGATTTGAACTGCCGACGTTTTGGTTAGCAGCCAAGCTCCTGACCACCGCGCCACCAGGGCGCGTTTCTCTACACAGACTTCCTTTTTTGTATGTGTATTTCCTTTTAACTAGTTCATTGAAGTAGTTTCATACTCTCTTTTTTGCAGACATAAGAGGTCCACCATATTTTCTTTGCCTATACTTTGAAATAAAGTTCTAAATATTAACTATGGGGAAATATTTACATGACATCACTGTTTCTACCACAAACAGTTCCCACTTCCAGCTTCACTGAAACAATTCCTACAACTATTGTTACTGGTTAAGACTTTGTGCCATTTAGCCCTTCCCTTACAGGACTGTACATTCTAAATTTCATTCTACATCTAAAAAAAGTAAACTCAGACAGCAGTTAAGTGTGATTAAAATGTATAGTGACTGAGAAGGATCTAGTAGAGACTGTACTACACAACATTGGATGTCATTGTTTTTAGTTGCTGTCATGTTGATTGTGACTCATGGCGACCCCATGTGTGCAGGGTAGAACTGCTCCACAGGGTTTTCAAGGTGTGACCCTTGGGAAGCAGATCGTCAGGGCTATCTTCCGAGGCACCTCTGGGTGGGTTCAAATCACCAAGCTTTCAGCTAGAAGTCAAGCACTTAACAGTTTGTGCCAACCAGAGACTCCATACTACAACACAGCACCTTTCATTTTCTCCAATGGCCTCTAACATACAGGTGAAAACACACCATGAAATAAAGATGCAATCAAATGTGTCTCCCCTCATTGGTAGCCATCAGCCATTTACTACTATGATGGCTTCTATATAAATTCTCTATGAACTAAGCCCCTAGCTAAAGAGATGAGAGAGAGAGAAAAAATATAGACCGAGATACTTTCTGGCTAACTGGACACTTGCTCTTACATGATTTGGGGTGGGGGTGGAGGACAGACAAATCAGCAGATCGTACCACCCCCCTCACACTCTCTCACACACACACACACACACACACACGCACGCACGCACGCACGCACGCACGCGCGCATTATAAACATACATTGTGGTCATTTGAAATGCCCTTTAGCCATACTTAAAGGCCCTCTAGCTGAGGAACTGATAAAAAGTGACTTTGATTATTAGCAGTCATTTCACTAAGTGGTTTTATTTGAGATAAGTCACCTTCTCAGGGTCAGTCTTGCCCTGTGTATGTTCTGTTTTATTCCTGTCCAACTTAACACAAAATGAAAGGCGCTCAGATGTTTCAGATAGCACGGTAACCAGCCAGGGAGGCAAAACGTATAAAGCTGCTGTGACATCTGGTAAGCCCTCCTGAATCCAAAGCTTTATTCCCCTGTCTTTCTGGAGTTTCAGATTTTTAGGAGAAGTTCTAGGTATAGATAAACTAAGAATGCAACATAAAAATTCAATGCAACACCCTAAAATAAAATCCTTCCCATAGCTCTAGAAATGTAAATCATTTGTTTTCATATGCAAATTGTACGCAAAGCACGCTGTTGTGTTATTATGGTCATTTGCTAGGGGTAAATAACAGGTAAGTGACATGCACAGCTCGCTTTTTAAAAAAAGCTCTAGGTCATTCAATTGATCCACACGGAACATACATCTGCCTATAAGCTTGTCCAAGACAGGAACGCAGCTTCTAACCGTACTCGAAAGGAAGCTGATATGTGTACATACACTTAATAATTCAGAATCACAGACAGAAAAACAGCGAAACACAGGGAAAAGAGAATCAGAAATTGGGAATCAGTAGAGACAAAGACACAATGGGGAGATGTGGAAACAGGAAAAGAGAGACACATACTCAGATGGGGAGAGAGAGATTGAGAGACAGAGCAAGAGGCGGGGGAGACCCAAAGAGAAAGGAAGCGGGAAGGGGTTAGTTAGTCTGAGGGTTTTGGGTTATTGTTAAACTGTTTAGCATCGTCTCCCACCTACAACCACCCACAACCATATTGACTAGCTTTGCGCTGGAGCCCTGATGATGCAGTGGTTAAGAGCTATTGCTACTAACCAAAAGGTTGGCAGTTCGAATCCACCAGCCGCTCCTTGGAAACCCTATGGGGCAGTTCTACTCTGTCCTATAGCGCAGTATGAGTTAGAATCGACTTGATGGCAATGGGTTTGGGTTTTTTTTTTTTTTGGTTTAACTTCAGAGAGAAAGGAGCCCTGCCGGCACATCAGTTAAGGGTTAGGCAGTTCTACTCTGTCCTATAGAGTTGCTATGAATTGGAACTGAATCGAGGGCAACGGGTTTGGTTTTGGTATTTTTTAACTGCAGAGAGGATCACTGTGATTGGCATGGATTGACAGCAGCGTTCACAAATAAGGGAGATGCATTAAAATCTCTATAACAAGATCCCTCATCATGTACTCAGCTGAGGTCAGACATCATTTCCAACTGGAAATGCAGCTTATAGTCCTCCATCTACTTCTCTAAAAGGTTTCCCACTCTAGCTGCTTTTCCAGTACTTGCTGATGAGGAAAAGTTAATTCTGTGGGTACCACCTCTGGGCCAGGCACACAGCTAGAAACGCTCTTTGTGTGTGTTGCCTTACTGATTTTACAAAAAGAAAAGTTAATGTTTTTGCAGCAGCTGAATAGAGGCCCATATTCCATGTTAACAGCAGTATCTGAGGAAGTATCAACGTGCTAGAAGTCCCTGGGCACAAATGGTTAAGGCTGGGCTACTAACCAAAAGGATGGTGGTTCAAATCCACCCACAGGCACCTTGGAAGAAAGGCCTGGCAATCTTCCGAAAGGTCGTAGCCATTGAAAACCCTATGGAGCACAGTTCTACTCTGCATACATGGGGACCCCATGAGACAGAATCAGTTTGGCAGCAACTGGTTTGGTTTTCTTGCTTTTATCAATGTGCTGAATATTAACCAACTGGAAATGGCAATTTTCAATTCATCCGCAACTGGGCCTGAGAAAATAAAAATCCAATCACTCACTTTCCAAATGTGGATACTCCAATCCACAAATTAATAGTGTAGTTTAAAGCCTGGGCTTAGGAGTCAGAGACCCGTGTTAAAAATCCTGCCTCTGTTACTGGCCTGCTGTGTGATATTAAGCCAGTTTTCTAACCTCTCTGAGCTTTAATGTCCCTGTATGAAAAGTGGCAATTGTATCATCCACCTCGCACAGAGTTTTGTAAGAATTAAATGAGATAAAGTAGAAAAACACAGTGCTTGCTACTTAATTGATCAGTAACTGGTAGCTGCTATGATTAGTAATGCTATTATTTTCTAGGAAGTTGAGTGAAGATGGGAAAAGGTATTGTATTCCCATTCTATAGTTGGGACAGTAGAGTTAATTTTCACTCTGATCAACAAAACTACCTGCCATGTTTAATTACCAACTATCGAGGCTGCATTGACAGACCTGTAACGCAAATCTAAGCACAGCAATGCAGGAATCTGTAGGGTTAAAGTGATCATTCATTATCCTAAATTAGTGGTTCTCCTGGGGTGCTTCTGCTCCCTCTCTCAGGGGACATTTGACTTGGTGAACACAACTTGGAGTGTAAGGGGGGTGCTACTGGCATCTAGTGGGTAGAGGCCAGGGATGCTGCTAAACGTTCTGCAATGTACAGGACAGCCCCACAACAAAGAAGTATCCAGAATGTCCGAAGTGCTGAGGATGAGAAACCCTGTCCTAATGGGAGCTGTGTTCTTTGTATTAATGGCTGTTACTTGTTGAAGCTACTAAATGGACAGCTGATCAAAATAATATGGCTTTCTAATTACAAATTAGTCTCCTTTCTATACATATTAAGAAAGCTCCCCTTCTGGGTTAGAAAAATTCTGGACTAGGGGGAAAAAAAGAAAGCTACAGTCAACTTATCATAATTATGTCAAAATAATGTCTTTGGGGCAAAGGGAGAGGGAGAAATATCTGCTGCTAACATGGACACTGTGCTTCCTTGCTGGCTTTTTATCCAGCACATAAACCTGATGGACAAGATTCCACGGAAGCTTCCAGCATGCAAGCTGCACAATGGCCTAATGAAAACCAATCTAATTGGGACAAAGAGAGAGTAGATCCTCATGTGTCTGGGCCCCCAACTCGATCTGAATCATGTTCTTCAATATTCTGCTCCACCAAAATGAATATTTTTCCAAGTAAACGATAATTGTAAAATGTTATTATTTTTTTCTCTCTGGATGGCCCCCTTCTCTGACTATCAATTGAGCACTGTTAACTAGAGTAAACTGGGACTTTTATGCTTTGTTTGTGACGGTACAAGAGGGCTCTTGTGCTCTCGGAATAGTTATTTCTAGACTTCAATTCCCTTAGGACAGTTTCCTCTCTAAGCTGTTCTGTTCACTTTTTTTTAAGTAGTTAACTTGAAAGAAAGCATTTCAAAGAATCAAACGAAAAAGGAAAAAAAAAGTCAAACTTTAAGAACATTAAGTTTAAACTGTGCTGTGGGAAAAAAATTAAAATATGTTAATAAGATATACTAGCTTTGTTGTTTTGACAACTAAAACTCAAATTTATCAAGAATAATACCTCGTACCTAACACTTATTGAAAGTTCACCAGGGCAGAGACTGTTCGAAGTGCTTTTCAATGGATTAACTATTGTAACCCTCACATTAACCCTACTGCGGTAGATGCTATTATTATTCCCACTTTAGAGATGAGGAAACTGAGGCAGAGAGGTCAAATATATCGTTCAACATTATGCATCAAATTCAGATACCTGGTTCAGAGTCTGTGCTCCTAACTCCTATGCTATACTGTCCTTCTCCTAATAGCAAAATGCTGAAACACTCGTGTCTGGCGAGACTCTGATGGGCCCAAGCTTAGTGTTTTCCAGAGTGGGAATATAGAAGAGAAATGGATGCTGAGACCAAATCAGTGACTTCTGAGGGTGGCAACAGGCTACTTCTTTCCTGGCTGGGAATTAATTCAACTCTGCCCAGGGGATCTTTCCTACCTGGAATTCTCCTGAGATGGCCTCTCCGTCCCTGCATTATCCTTCTCCACTCAAGGGCTAAACTGGTCTCCCCCTTCCAGACTAGTAAGTCCCAGGAGAGCAGGAAGCATACCTTATTCATCCCTGTACCCACAACCTCTCACCAAGTGCTGCCACATAGTAGGCATTTGATAAATGCTAAATCAATCTTAACAATGGTGCAGGATCAATCAGATAATGACAGAATGAGGCATCGAATTTAATGTAGACACACTGAGGAAATATGGGATTCAGCTGAAAGGAGAGAAGCGTATGGGGTCATGACAACTGTCTTCACGAGGAAATGCTCTCCATGAGGTAGAACTAAGACTCATGCCTGGAGCTTACAAAGAGACTCACTGTGAGGAAAATCTTGATTATGAAGTATGACGTTACTCTAACATAGAGTTTGACACATTACAGGTGCTCCATGAATATCGGCTGAATGAACAAACACTATCAAAATTACCTAATATTACAATTAATAAATTACACTGAACAAAACTGAGACTGTTTCATTGAGTATAACTTATGTTTCCAATGCTAAATGCTAAATGTACTTTAACAAGCAAGACGACCCTGTGAGGTAGGTACAATTATCAGTCCCGTTTTACGGATGGGGAAATGTAGGGCTTCAAGAAGCTAAGTAATATGCACAGTCACAGAGTAATGGCAGACTGAGGATTTGAACTCAGGTCTGACCATAAGTCTCCAGCTCCTAGTTGTGTTTTTCTGCTTCCCTAGTATAGTAATAAAGAGCCCTGGTGGTGCAGTGGTTAAGCCCTTGGCTACTAACCAGAAGGTCAGGGATTGGAACCCACCATTCGTTTCGTGGGAGAAAAGACCTGGCAATCTGCTCTCCTAAATATTACCGCCTAGGAAACTTTATGGGGCGGTTCTACTCTCACATAGGGTCGCCATGAGTCGGAATTGACTCAATGGCACACGACAACAGTATACTAACGCCTACCCTTCACTGCAGGCATTCAAGAAGCTGGATGACAGGTATTTTTCAGGGGAATATGGAGGACACTCAAAAGGAGATTAATGCATTGAGGACTGGGTTGGATCAGATGACTTCAAAGGTCCCCACTATTGCAAAATAAATAAAAAGCAATGACTTTACAAAATCATGTCGATTCTACAATCCTCCTGAGTGTGCGCAGGTATCCATTTGGCACTGTTGGCAAAATGACTGCTCTCAAAGCAAAGCTCTTTCAAGAGGACTGGGCCATTGCTAATGAATGTTGCTGGTGAGTAAATACATTGTAAATATATCCATGTCTCTGGGTATATTTATAGATTCCCTAGTGCAAGCTCCCCCAAGTATTTTGCTCACGTTCACACTAGGATTTTGACTGCTGACAAGTGTAGTCGGCCTTGTGGGATGCACGGAGTTAGAAGCAGAAGGATTCCAAGGAAGCCAACCATAGGCTCAAAGAGGGTGGGGAGTTTGGAATGGAAACGTTTTTCAGAACAGCAGAATGTGTGGCTCTTCCAAAATCAACGGGTGAGTTTAAATGGGTGGGAAGGAGACAAAAGCTAAAGATCCTAGAAGAAGTTTTGACATTTCAGGCTCAGTCCTCATCCTTCAAGACTGCAAGTGAATGAACTTAAAGAACTGGATGAAGGTGGGGGTAAAAAAGAAAAGAAAATGCTAATAATAAAAACTCAGTTTACAAAGGATTTTGGTGTAAATAAGTTAAGCACTCTCTTATTCCCTGGCCAAGGAAATTTATTACTGGATGTTGGTCTTTTAAACACTGGTTATTAAAGAATATGATAGTCTCAGGGCATTGCTCTCATAGAAAAAAGAAAAAGAATGGACTAGGCATTCAAAGACTTACTGGGTGGTCCTGCTCTGACAACGTAATCTTGGGCAAGACTACCCAACCTTTCCTAATCTAAAACTGAGGACAGCAATACCAGCCCAACTTGACTCACAGAATTATTACAAGGACCACATGCGATCTACAATAAGAAAGACGTTGGTAAAACAGTTAACATGCCACACAGAGTCAAGCAAAAGAAACCACGTACACCAGCCTCCAAATTATAGCTAGAATTGAGTAGCAACATCCAAGAGCAAATATGACCACTGGTTGATTAACTAAAATTGGGATAAATTTGAAGAGGGGTAACCCTTCTCTATCCCCCGTGATAAACTGCATTAATTTTTTCAGGCTAACTAGAACACCACTGTAAATAGCACAATCCATGGCCTTTCCTTTGGCTGCAGTGTACTGCATTGGGCATTAGATGTCAGGGAGAACTGGGGGGCCTAATGTCCTACTGAAAGTGGACTTGGACTCAAGGGAACATAAACCTTTAAAATGAGTTCACTGACACACTCATGAGAAAGTCTTCTAGTGTCAAAGTCGCTTCTTTGTAAACCTGAGATAATGCTCCATTTTATTAATAATAAATTTCTAATGAATCAGTAGCAAAGTTATACAAGCTCAGGAAAAGTGGGAGAACACAAGAAATATTTTAAGATTTTCTTAAAAAAAAAATAAAAAGAAAGAAAGCCATCAGTACCGTATTTGCCATTTGCAAGGCAGGATCCATCAAGCCCAGGATTTCTTCGTTATAACTTGATTCTAGGCTAATGATGTCATCGATTACATCATCCATCTGTAAGAAAAAGGGGCAATGAAAGAGAGATGGAAGTGAGCAAAAACTGTGCAAAGCAATTCAAAAAAACAAAAAAGAAATCCAGGGTTCTTTCTTACTCAAAGCAATAATGCCCTTTAGTTAGATTCTGAGAAGTAACTTTCCTCTTCCCGCCAAAATAAGAATATTATTGAGGGCTATGAACACGAGTGGGTGATGAGAATGACATTTACGGCCAACATTCGGCGAGTGCTTAGCAGGCGTCAGGCACCGGGCTCAGGGCTTTTCCGTGGGTGAAGCTATTGACCCTGACAATAACCCTACCAGGGTAGGTACTACTATTACAGTTTTCCAGATGACATAAATGCTACACAAAGAGACAGAGCAACCCGCCCAAAGTCACCCAAGCAAGAAGGGTTGGAGTCACAATCTGGACCCATGCTCTCAACTACTATGCTCAACTGCTTGCCCTAAACAGAAAAGATGAACTAGGAAACTGTTCATCTTAAACGTTAGCTGTCTCCTTTTTTTCTCTAAAGACTGCCCCATCTGCTTCCCATGTGTCCTTGGAGCAAGGAAATGCAGATGGTATTTCAGCCCTTTGCTCCCACGGGAGTGTGTGGGGCACAGTGGCTCCCAGGACCCTGGCTAGCCCTGCACTGATATTGTAAAATAAGTTTCTCCTTGTACGGCTGCCAGTGTGCTGGGTACTCCCCAAGGAGTACACCAGGACGAGGATATCATTACAGTCGTGGGGCTGACATTCCCACTAGATCAATTTTATTCCTGAAGTACCAAAACATCAGTTATGATAATAAACAACGATGATTACATGTGCATTGCAGCAGTTGCAAAGACAAGACTGTGAAAACATTTTCTTCATAAACACCTAACGTAGTTGAGCTGGTGTGTGTGTGTGTGTGTGTGTGTGTGTGGGTGTGGGTGTGTGTGTGGGTGTGGGTGTGTGGGTGTGTGTGCGCGCGCGCGCGCACACATGCTTCGGTCTTAATAGTGTTTCATAAGTGCACAATGAAATTTCAGAACACAGAGGGAGTATCCCCTTGCCAGTTCCACTAAAGAGTACAGGCTCTGAAAGACATGGGGCTTGGGCTCGAATCCTGGCTCTCCCACTTTCTAAATTAGAGGCAAAGCATCTAAGCTTTAAGAGCCTCAGTTTGCTTATCTGTGAAGTGGGGGTTAATAATACTTACTGGCTTATGAGACTCACGTGAAAATTTCAGGCTATGGCATATGAAGTGCTCACAGTGCCAGCAATGCAGTAAACACTCAATAAATGATCTTTTTAAGTGAATCCTCAGAAGCGTAATTGGAGGCAGGCTGTGAATCACTGTTAGTAGCTCTGTTTATTAGTTTCCATTGCTAGATACCCTGGTCTTACTTGTTGTTAAGAGGAGACAATTTTCTAACTGAGTGGGGAAACAGGCAAATGAGCCAGGGGACTTGTAAACAACCTTTCGTTGGAAATATTTATTTTTAGGGGAATAAAATTAGTGGGCTTGGTGTGACAGAACTTTTAAAACAATTTTTTTTCTCTTATGTTAAAAGTAATGTAAGTTGATAAGAAATAGAAAAGAAAAAAGGGCAAGAAAATTTTTGTTGCTTATCACTCCTCTCTCAGATACACAAATATACACATAAACATATTAGTAAATAGCCCTGTCATAACTTACATATTGATTAAATGGGATACTGTAGGAGAATCTTTAATGACTTGAGAAAATGTCCAAGAAACATTATTAAATTAAAAAAGAAAGTTTCAAAATATACGCTCCATGAGATTCCACTTTATAAAACAATACCGATATCACAAAAACACACATTTTGGTTTTACTAATATCCTAGGAAATTTGCTGCCCTGCAAATCTGCATGGCATGTATCAGTGATAGTATTTCAAAGAAGTACAGCATTTTAAACTTTATTTATTAAAACAAATGTATTTTAAGCACTTTTTAAGGACTTAAAGCAACTTAGAGGAAAAATGTATCTTAAGTTTAATTTCCCTAGTAATTATTTAATCATGAGACACTATGAAGAAAATGGCCCTGTTCACAGTCTTTTCTATTTAAAAAAAAAAAAAAAAAAACCAATGGGGGAAGAAAAATTCTTAAGTCATCACAAAGGTGTGATCAGTAACAAATATAGATTCTCATTATGAAGTGTTACATCCTTGGGCTGCCGAGTCATCCAATACCTGCATGCATGGCGCTCTCGAATGTGTGTTCATACTTGGGCACTCACTCTCCACCCTGTTTTGTTCTTCAAACTTATAAAACCCCTGCAAAAACACAAGCAAAAACAGCCCATGACTTGGATTCGCAAGTTATTTTTCGATGACATTTCACACGAGGCTGATAGCACAGCAACAAGATAAACTAAGCTTTCAAATAAAGTGGAATCTGGCCCAAAGAAGACATAATGAATGAGGAACTTCCAACCAATCATCTTGATAAATGACAAACACAGACAGGGAAAAACATAGTGTTTGGTTTGCACACGGGGGAAAAGACTGAGTCACTCCAGAAATGAAAATCAACCAAACTTTAGAAGTCACCTCTGAAATCACAAATATTTCAGAGTACATATAATTCTGTTAAAACGAGATTTACATTATCTCATAATTTGGAAATAACAGGCATTAAATTGCAATTCTCCTCCCAGGTATTTTTATGCTTCAAATTTTGATACAACAATTAGCTTGAAGGTGTGCTTGCGTCTCATCTCCAATCCATCCTTTCAAAACAAAAGCAGATTCAATGGGCAGCGGCAATTTTATAATGAAACTGAATTAAACCTTTGCATTTCTGTTAAATTCTCATCTGCTATATTATTCAAATCCATCCACGCATGTTCTGTGCTGCTTTTTTGTTTTTGTTTTTGTTTTTTTGCCCCCCAACTCAGGGACAAATAAAAATAATATTCCAGACATTCACAACAAAAGGAACTTCTAACCGCCTGCCCCACACCTTTTCTATTTTTGCTTTTCCTTTTCCACCTTCCCTTCTCTCTCTGCACTTTCACTGCTTCGTAAATGGAAAGGCATTGAAGAGAAGACAGCATTCAGCTAATGAAGGAGAAATGAGTTGAGAGATAAAGCATCCTCGCCTCCGTGTTCTACTAGGAACGGGTTAGGCTTCCCTCTTGCGCCATGAACCCAATAACCCAGAGGCGGCAACAAGAAGCTGTGGGCCGCCATGTTGGCAAATCTGAGACAAAGGCCAGAGAAGGTGGCCACACGGATCAACTATACAGTCCCTGGTTAAGTGCAGGAATAATATCCAACAGACAGTCATTTAGTTTAAGAAAACAGGAGAGGAGAGGAGAGGAGACATGAATTACCTCTTTTTCACAGTTGGAGTTAAGTGTAAGCATAGCCATGGGGCTGTTGGGTGCGCTGCTCCCGGGCACAGGTGGCATGACATGATCGCCAGGCTGGTTTGGACATGGCAAGCTCAGGACTTGGTTGGCATGTTTATTTGCTAAAGTGGTAGAAAGGTACTGCTTTACCTGCTGCCTTTGGGCTTGCTGAATGTGGTACTTGGTGGGGTTTTCAAGGTGGGTCTGCACCTGAACACGGCCATAGAGAGAAGAGAGACAGCGGTGTTATTTTTAGCCTCCCACAGCTCTCTATCAGGCACAAACATGAGACAGACCAAGCCACCAAGAAAATACATTATTAAGCCCCTGTTAATGTACCAGGCACTGTGCTGATGGATTTTGATATTACTGAAGTTCAAAGTCCAAATCTCAGGATTTGGGGTGATACTTTGCCCTGTTTTATTTCCCTAATGGACTGCACATTTCTTTAAAACCCTGTGCCCTTCTTCCCATGTCTAGTCATTCAAAGTTTGCAACTATCAGTAGGGCAAAAAGTTCCCCAGCACACCTGAAAGAGTTTATTAAGATCAAAACAACAAGTGAGAAGAAGCAGCATAACTCAATTTACTTCACTTTCTTTGGCAGACAACAGCTTTCTGTTTTTTTTTTTTTTTTTAAAGCCTCCTTAAGAGCCAACTGTAAAACGGTTGTTGAAAATAAACAAACACTTTGATGATTAAATTAACTAGTTGTGGATTAATTCCTCCCATTTTCATTTGGACATGATTAGTCAACATTTTAATTAAGAAGGAACTCAATGTAAAAAGCAATTCCACATTATGCAGTTTCTTTCAAATACGTAACACTCACATGTATATGTTTTAAAAGGTATGACAATTAACAAACCACCGGGATATTTGTCTTCCTTTCTTAAAAACGTTATTACAGAGTTAGAAATGCTTCTTTTTTCAAATCAAAGCTATCCTGTTTAAAGTTACCTTTTTCTTAATAAACACAATTTAATCTTATGAGCTATTAACAGGAGCTGATGGAGAGAGCATAGCCACATAGTGGGGGAAAAAAAAACACCTTACTAATATTTACTTTGTTCAAAACTACACGGAATTACTTCTCATGGCATCAAACAATAAACAGCATTAAAATAATAGTCTTGTACTTATTGAAAACAGTGTGTCTATTCCAAACATACGGACAGTGAATTCCTCAATTTATTGCACTATATTTCAGAGGCTGAATAAGAATAAAGCTCACCTGATAGTGATTATATTCTAGCATTTCCAGCATTACAATGTTTTAGATGGCCCCAATCCAGCAAGAAACGGTAGACTATTCACTCACTCTACTTGCTATAATTCCAATGCGAAGACTGACTGGCATAGAGAAGGCACTATAAACAAGGTATCCCGAGACACCACCGGAAACTGTATCACAGCAGCCCTGCTTATAATAACCTAAGCTAATTAGTTATGCATGTAAAAAAAAAAAAAGAAAACCGTTCACACAAGGGGTTTTTTTTTTTTTGAAGCCCTACAAGTTTAGTCTTATTGATATCAATTTTGTCCCCTGGCTTGACGTCATGCTTTTTTTTTCATAAATATAAAAGAACCTTTTAAAGTGATGAGCTATCAAAGTCAAACTCACTGTCAGATCAAGGCCAATTCACTATTCATCTTTAGTTCCAGTAGTATTAATAGACAATGGTATTTCTCTTTCAGCAATAGGTTAAGAGCTGGATGCCCCCATTGGAGGAGACATGGCCTAAAAGCTACTATTACATATGAGACTTTCCTAATGGTCGACAACTGCCACTTCCGACTGCAGGAAGACCTCTTTTAGTATGGTGGAGCCTCTCTGCTGAGCTTTCAAGTTCAACAGCCTCATCTTGCCTCCTGGTCTCAATATGCATCTTATTCTATGCTGGATTGCTATGTAACTTGCTTATTGACCTCTCATTAGGAAGAGGGGAACTACTCTAAATAGAATGGGAAAATAAATATACATGCACACACAAACATACACACACCGTGTATATGCAGATATGCACATATATATGCATATTCATACACATACAGCAATGCATAAATATTTACCTGGAAAATAAGAAAGAAATCTCTCTACAATTTAACCCTCAAATTAGAAAACATGGAAAATATTACTGAAAATCTCAGTATATTCTCTCAGGACTAGAGAAGAATTAAGAGTTATCATACATACATCTGGTGCATTTATATATTCATTCATTTGCTCTTTCCATTATCTACTATAATTACATGCTAAACAGTGTGTAAGGCACAGAATATACATTGTAAACAAGCAGACAGGATTACCAGCTTGACGGGGTTTACAGTCTGGGGGGTAAGGCAAGAGAAAAAGAAAGCAAACAAATATGAAGTGGAGAGGTATTTTAACCATAAAGATTTGAAATTCAATAATTTTGTCTAAATGCCCAGGCTAACGAAGCCCCTTAGGCTGACAATCTCAGATTGCTTCAAATGACTGATCTAACATGCACACGGAGGTTCACAGAGACATTTTAAGTTTCATAAAGGGTCCAGACATGATAATGATGAGGACAATAGACATTACTAAAATAAACATAAAACGAGGGCAATGGGTGTAATGTGCTTATTTCACGATTACACTTAAAAAAAGAAGAGCTACACATTTAAAAATAAATGTTAATTCACTTGCAGATCCTTATTCTTTAATGAATCAGAATTTTATGCGTTAGTAAGGAAAGATGCAACTTGGTCTCTATTTGGCATTGTCAGTGAGGTCTTCACTACATCCAGGTTTGGGTAAGCAGAATGGGATGTATTTTGCTCTTTTATTGTCAGTGTCTTTTTAGTTTTCAAGTAAGTTGAGAGCAGATGGCCTATAAACACTATGTAGTAGAGAGAACATTTCCAACCGTTTCAAACCCAAACATCTCAAACAGGTAATGTAAATGAAACACAGGAGCTGGGGGTAAGTAATAGGGAGTGGTGAGGGCTGTGGAAAACTAGAAGACATGTTTCTCATCTAAAAGGAATAGCTGATAAAAGCTGCAGTTGATTGTAGCAATGTGGGACTATAAGCCCAGTCTAGATGGATATTCTCATATTTTGAGGGTACCTGGCAATGTGAACTTCCTTTTTAAGTGAACTCCCCCAGTTTAAAAAACTGACATGGAATTGTTTTATTTTTCACATTGTACAAGCCAAATCAAATACATCTGTGGGCTAGGTTCAGCCCATAAGCCACTGGAATGCGGCCTTTGCTTTATACTGTCCACAAGCATAATCTTCATATTGACATTCCTGGAGGCAGTTGGGGATTGTGGCCCAGGTTCTGAGTAGAAGTTCCTGTTCTGAGAAGTCAGTGTCAAAATCCAGGTGATTCCTACCGCTTCTCCGAGAGACAGTGGAAGTGCCTGTTAGCAGTCAGTGGAGTAATTAAGAACCTGAAACCCAGGCTCGACTTCTGACTTTTTCCCTTACTCCTGTGTGCCCTTCTGCAAGTCAGTTAACTTTTCCAGGCCTTGTCTCTTCATGTGCACAATGGGGATGGTAATAGGGCCTGTTTCATAGGGTGGTCTCAGCATTAAAGGAGATCATGCCTCTAAAGGGCTTAACAAAGTATCCCGAAACAGTGGCACTCAAACATTTTTGTCTCAAACTTTTACACTCTTAAAATGTATTGTTTGTATGGGTTAATCTATCAATATTTGCCATATGAGGAATTAAGACTGAGAAATGCTTAAAACACAAGATTACATACAAGCACACATTCCATTAGCTGCAGAACAATGACATCTAAACGGGTCTTGTTGCCTCTGGAAAACTCCACTGTACGCTTGTGAGATAAGACTGAAGAAGGCAAAAAGACATCTTAATATTATTATGAAAATAGTTTTGAGCTAAGTGAACCCCGAAAAAGGTCTTAGAAAACCACAGGGCGCTCTGATCACAATTTTGAGAACTGCTGATCTAGAACACAGTGAGTGAGTACTTTACAATCATCACCACCCCATCTTGACCATGTCGCTCACCACAGTGTATCAGTGAGTGACATACCTTCTACTGTATTTGCATAAAAATACGGTAGAAGGTATGATTTTTATGCAAATAACGTGCACCTTCTATGTGCTTGCCAACTGCACCCTTCCCCTGCAAGGTATTTTCTTAGGTGCAGCTATGCCATTTTTTTTTACATGTTGCTGTAAAAAAAAGGTAGTATAGTGCACTACAAAAATACATGGGGGGAGGGGACGGTTCCATTGGCAAATAAACATAGAAGGTGCACATTATTTGTGTAAAAATACAGTTAATGTCTTGCTTCCTTCATCCAGAAGATGCTAGATGAAGATGCTAAGCCCTGCCCTAATGTATACCTAGCATTATTGTGAGGCTTTACAGCCCTTTGACAATTTTAAAAGTAGCATAAATATAATGCACAATTCTCTGTCTTCAGCCATCCTAAATCACAGCTTTTCGGTTAACAACTTACCTTTAGTTAATTTTTAAATATCCAATCACACAAGCATGCAAATGAGACTACAAATATGTAGCATTAAAGAGGACACAAACAAATTCATGACGTTTTGGTATTTTTTGTTTGCATGTTTTTGAACTTCAAACCAATAACCCAGGTCAAGGAATTCTGATAACAAAAGTTAAATGCTGCTGAGCACTTGAAGCACAGACCCACAAAATAAAGCTATAATACGCTGTGTTCTATCACAATACAGTATTTATTGATACAATTTATATTTCACACAAATATAGTATACGTACGGCTATCTTCCCCCCAAAAAACCAAACCCATTGCTGTCGAGTCAATTCAGAGTCATAGCGACTCTATCGGACAGAGCAGAACTGCCCCACAGGGTTTCCAAGGAGCGCCTGGTGGATTCGAACTGCTGACCTTTTGGCTAGTAGCTATAGCACTTAACCACTACGCCACCAGGGTTTCCACGGCCATCTTAGACGGCAAAAATTCAAAGGCTTTGAAACTTTTCTTCCTTGTACTACGACTATCTTTTTCGCTCTTTCCTATCTGCATTCAGATACTGGAGTGATGGCAAGAGAATTGGAACGGATCACCCCCTCACTGTTACATGTTAGCTTTGCCACTTCCAGGGTGACACTGACAGGTTATTTTCCATCAGTTTCATTCTAAAGAGATCCTGGGGCACATCACACGTCAGTGTAAGATGTGGCTGGAGATACCGCCATCTTGGCTGGCAA